TACATTGACATCGGCTTGTCTCGGTCTTTTATGAGAGCTAGCTTTTTCATTATCTTTAACGGTTAAGTCTGCTTGGTTGCATATTTCTTGCCTTGTTGCTGCGAATTTTTTGCTACTTGGCTGCGTCTCAACTTCGGTGGTTGCATGGGCGTTTTCGTGAGTTTGTGGGTTAGCCGATGAGTCTTGACTATTATCCTCGGTTTTGGCGACCCCTCGAGTTTTTTCATCATCTGGTGTTTTATTATTACAGCTAGTTTTAATGTTATCATTAGGCTTTGTTTGGTTTGTTTGGTTTGCTAACGGCTGCTTCTTTTGTTCATCGCCATTTGAGTCCGTGCTAAATAAATCAGATGTTTTACCGTTTCCCGATTGTTTAGCTGATTGTTTGTTTGGCTGTTTACCGTCAGCTGAACCACGTGCGTTTTTTCCGTTTCTTGGCATTTCTTGAGATACCAGATTGTAGAGAGTGGTCCACTGTTGTATTATTGCCTTTTCACAAAAACAGGCATCCTCTAACTCAGGGTAAAAATCTAGAGAGTTTCCAAGTAGTGTATCATTGATTAAGTTCTAGAGAGTGGTTCACTATTGCACTATTGTCTGTTTAGAGAAACACTAGATATCACCTAGCGCTGGGTTACTTTTCACTAGATACTGTACTGTTGTACTATTGTCTCTTTATAAAAAGACCAGACATCACCTAACTCGGGGTTATATTCTAGAGAGTGGTTCACTGTTCATAGAAACACCAGATGTCGCCTAACTCGAGGTTATATTCTAGAGAGTGGTTCACTGTTCATAGAAACACCAGATGTCGCCTAACTCGAGGTTATATTCTAGAGAGTGGTTCACTGTTCATAGAAACACCAGACATCACCTAACTGGGGGTTATATTCTAGAGAGTGGTTCACTGTTCATAGAAACACCAGATGTCGCCTAACTCGAGGTTATATTCTAGAGAGTGGTTCACTGTTCATAGAAACACCAGATGTCGCCTAACTCGAGGTTATATTCTAGAGAGTGGTTCACTGTTCATAAAAACACCAGACATCACCTAACTCGGGGTTATATTCTAGAGAGTGGTTCACTGTTCATAGAAACACCAGATTTCACCTAACTCTAGGTTATATTCTAGAGAGTGGTTCACTGTTGTACTTTTGTCTGTTCATAGAAACACCAGAAATCCTCTTACTGGGGGTTACTTTCTGAGAATGACACAATATCAATATGGGTGGGTTACTTTCTGAGAAATAGTCTACTGTTGCACTATGAACTCTTTACATATAATCGAACTAATTGTTTTCTCGATCTACAACCTGCAATAATAGTTTAATGTATCACATTACGTGACATACCTTAGTTGTTGATAAGATATAGGATATTTTATTGTAGGCCTACCAGTATGTACTATTCAAATAAGTAACAATGAAAATTTGAATTATTAATGATATCAATGCTATAAGATTGTGATAAAAATTGGTGGTGAAATTGAGAAGTTAAAAAAACTAATGTAAAGTATGGGGGGGGGGGGGAGGGGTTATTACATGATAAAGGGGTTAGGGGGTCGGGGAGTTATTACATGATAAAAGCGGTTGAGGGGGTCCAGGGGTTATGACATGGTAAAAGCGGTTGAGTGGTCGGAGGGGTTATAACATGATTCAAGGGGGTTAGGGTCTAGGAGGTTTGACAGGATTTAAATAGAAAGGGGCGGGGGATTGGGGGTGGGGGGTAAGGTGTTGAGGTCGAGGTAATATGACATGACTTAAGGGTGGGTGTGTTGTGAGATTGAGTTTATATGAAAGGGGCGGGGGATTGGGGGTGGGGGGTAAGGTGTTGAGGTCGAGGTAATATGACATGACTTAAGGGTGGGGGTGTTGTGAGATTGAGTTTATATGAAATGATTTAAAGAAAGCGGTGTAGAGCGGATAGCTAAGGTAGTGAGGTTGACGGGTTATGACATGATTTAAGGTTGGGGTGCGGTTGGGGGCCTATAACATTTTTAACACAAAAGATTTCCTGGAATTTGACATGTTTTGTTGTGGTTTTGTGCTTATGACAACCAATCACTGTGTTGTCATGCCACATGACAAATGACCCGGCAAATCGTGTCATGACCTAATTTTATGTTTTATACAAGTATATATATTTTACTGTGGATAATTACGCTATTACATACACTAGACCTATTATGATTTAATATTATTTCTTCATGCCTCATGGTTAAGCAGCGTGTTGGCTTATTTCCATTATAACGATAACATTTATTCCTTATATAAACATAATCTAACTTTTCATATACAAAATTTTCCGGGTTTTTTTTTCTAAACGTGCTGACCAATATGAAGGGTAACTGATCCATTAACCTCACTATTTACAGCCGGGTTGACTTGAATAATGACGAAAGATGACTGAACCAGTAACTATTTAGAGGCCTACAGCCGGGTCGAGTAGAAAACATGAGGAATGATGACCCATCCAGTGCTTATTTACGGTCGTGTCAAGTAGATTAATGAAGAAAGATGATTTAAGGTGGGATTAGACGAGGTCCGGGGTGATATACGACGCTGGATTATCGATACAGTACAAAATAGGTAGAAGCGAATCGCATCGTGTCCAGACCCGTACGTCGTGTGTTCTATTTACTGTATCGATCATAAATAATGAGAAAAGACCGCCGGGATCTGGAAAAATCATGCACCCATTCCCTAGATTAAGGCAAATTTTGCTAACTAAAGTGAAAAGAGTCCTACCTCGCCGATTGTCGCAAAATAATAATGTACGATCTAATCTATTGCAACTTCCTAGAAGGATAGTAAGGTACTTTTACTTTCGCTTTCATTAAATATATTATAGTAAATACTAGCTCATTAATCATTTAAGCTGAATCAAGGTCTTCTGCGAATTCGACGTGGTTCTTATTGCGATTGATGGGATTTTTGCGGGGTGGGGGGGGGGGGGGGGGGGGGGGGGATTTCCGCAATTTTTTTTCCCAAAAAGGGG